ACTACTACTATTGCTACTACTACCACCACCACTATTACTACTGCTGCTACTGCTACTATGTACTACTAGGACCACTAATGCCGCCCCTAACACTGTAACACATGTACTCTGTTGCAACAGCAAACAAGCAGCAGCGTCGGGACAGGTTTGTCGGGTACAGCGAAGAAGGGTAGATTGGCTAATAGAAGTTACTGTAGTTCTGTCTTGACCTGTGCCACCTGCCACCTTGAGTGTCAAGTTGACTTGCATGCGTCGGCAAAACTTCCTTGGCTGGTGAATTTCCCTTCGTTTGTCCCTCCTGCAGTGGAAAGTTAACGGAAGGGTGATGCGACAGGAAAGTCGAAGCATCGAAAGGGGCCATTCAGAGCAGCCTTCACCAATAAGTTCCAAATCTGTCTTGCGCGACTCCAACGCAGGACCGCATCGGTGCGGTGGCGACCCGGGCAATGAACTGGGCAAACTTGCGTCGGTTCCCCAGGATTGCTGCTGCTACGCTACCGCTGGCGTTGCGGTTGCAGTTGCTGCTGCTGCTGCTGCTACTAGTGCATCTCGTACTGCTACGCCTATACGACTTCCGCCTCCACTACCACCACCAACACCACGACAACCGACTTACTGCTGCTGCTGCTGCTGCTACTGCTATCGGCTTTACTACACTTCTATTTCTGCTGTGTGACGTAAGGGTGTCAAGACAGCATCAACGGCAACATCTGTCGCAATAGTCACAATCATTACTTGAAGGAATGATCATGGGCAGTCAATGCCTAATGCGCTTGCCAGCTCGAGGACTGCATGTAGGCAGATACACGAGAACCACTGGTGTCGATGGTGTTCCGTTTCCGGGAACATCTAGGTACCTGATTGTACTTGGTTTACTGGCGAAGCACTCATTTAAGTACTTTCCAGATTCTTTCTTCTGCGCCGGACCGAGGCAAGAAGACCAACGCGGAGAAGAAGTTGAGCATCTGCGTCTTCCAGTTGCTCGGCTTTGGAGCCTGGGAGTTCGGCGTGGCATAAAGCCGAAGTGGGCTCTGGCCGAGAGTCCCTGCCGAAAGCAGATGCAATCATGCGCGCAGAGGGTCCCTTCAACAGGACTTGACAGTACTAGGATGCGATACTATACTGTTACTATACGGTTTCTATACTATTACTATTCAACTATACCTCCACTGTAATATACTGTCTACTATAATAGTACTTTCATATTAATCTATAATATTGATATACTATTGCTAAAGGTTTGCTGTAAAATTACCATTAATCACACTATAGATTAGTATAATATATCAAAAGGACTTGTCACCCAGTGCTTCTCTCCCCAGGTTCCCCCCGGACAAGGGCAACGTTGGCACTGCTGCGTACCTGGATGTCTTCGGCAGCATCTACGCAGTGATGGGAGAGCGTTTTGGCTGGAAACGGAACAGCGAGGATTCGGAGGATTAGTTCCGTACTCTTCGGATGAGGCTCGTCGATGAGATTGCCACTTAGATCTTGTAGCAACTGCGAAAGTGGGCCTTGATGGTCCTGATGGTTTCACCGTACTCAGCTATGAAGTTTCTTGCGGAATGTCTGGAGTGAATGACCTGCCGAGGTTGAAGAAGCAGGGCTACACCATTGAGGACCCGGCAATGGCCTAAAGAGGAGGATGCACACTCGCGTGAGTCCAGCTAGGCCGTCAATGTTCGACATGTGAACATCTCTAGTGCATGCATGAGCTCGAAGCTCCGTGCATTCTGCGCCTTATGGAAAGGATATGCCGGACAACGCGGAGGGTCTGCAGAAGTCCATTCTGGAGGACAGACTTGGCAGCAATTGCTATGACGGGCGCCTGGTAGTTGTGACCTGTTATGATCGTCGTTTGTGTGCTGAGTGCCCGGCATTGCGGCGGCAGGACCCAGAGGCAGCAATGTCCATGTCGGACTTGAATGTCGCCTACCGTATGAGCGTGGACGAATACGAGGAGCTGTCCGACCCTGCCGGCCATTGCACGGATTGCAGCAGCGAGGGAGGTGATTAGGCTAGGCAGGCTAGGAACTTGCCGCATAGTTTGGATTATCCTTGCAGTACGTAAGCAACCCAGTTCAACCCAGAGCTACAAGTAGCAGTGGCAAGGAGCTCTGCCCCTTCGCCCATGACCTGCGCGAGCCGCTTGTCCAGAAGAACATGCACCCGAGTATACTCGAGTCAACCAGCTACAGGCAGCAGTTTAAGTCGGACAAAGCCTTTTCTCCAATTGCAACGAGCCCAGAAAACGCGGTCGCTTCACTTGGCAAGCACTGTTGGAAGCTCGGAAGTGGACCATGAACCTGAAAGGAGACCAATAAGCCAATAAGTGTCGATTGTCGTTGGCACGATATCCGATGTTGGTGCCGGTGCTGGTAATTGCGATTGTGACAATGCTCGTTATGCGGTGGTGACACGTCAGTTGCAAAGGCTCCGGTGAATAATTACGATGCCAGCTTGTCGACGAGTCATAGCAGAGCGATTTGTACTATCGACCGAACTTGTTATCTGTCACTCTTTCCCGCTTCCTGCTGAGCACGTTCTGGTGCTCCGAGGAACTGGGGCCCTCCGCCTGGAGAGCTGAACACCGATGGTCGCGACATGCTGATCTACGGTACCTCGGAGTTAGCTTCGGAAGGTTTTCAAGAAGCTCGGAGACTGAGGGCTTCCAAGCTCGGGTCCAGGTCTTTCGGTTTGGCTCTAGATGCCGTGTCGCCTTACCGGTTGGTGCGGCTCAACTCAAGCCTTCGGCTCAATACAACTTTTGGGTACCTTTCTGTCTTATGTTCAGGCCCTGTGGAAGGTGGCTTGTGAGAGAGTCGCTCTGAGGCAAGCATTTCGGAAATATCTTCCTCGGTGTGCAGCCTACCTTCGGCTACGAGGGTGACCCCATGAGGCTGGGGGAGCGAAGCGTTTGTTCTCTGCAGCCGCCAGCCGAATCATGTAGGCTTGACGAAAGCGCAGGCTGCTCTTTGCCAAGTCCGCGTCTCCTCATCATGGCTTCGCTGCCTTCTACACATACCTGGAGTTCATCTTCAAGGCCCTGCACAGCCTCACGTTGCAGAGACTTCTCGAAAGCTCAGCGTCCAAGTGGAGCTTGGAAGCCCTAAGCCTAAACCCTAAAACCCTAAACCCCAAAACCCCAAAACCCTAAAACCCTAAAACCCTAAACCCTATGGAAGGCAGATGCCCTGCTCCACTTCGGAACCCACGGATCTCTGGAGTTCATGCCCGGCAAGCAGGTTGGCATGTCAGGCCGGATCTTCTCTAAGATATAATGTATTCTACAGTATACTATAAAGTACTATAGCCTACTAGAATATACTATGATTAGTATACAAATATATACTAGAATGTACGATAATCGTCGGAATCAGGTCAGTGCATCATTCGCAGCCTGCAGGAAGCTGCTATCCTGACCGCCTGATCTCCGTGTTGCCCAACCTGTACTACTACGCAGCAGCTTGTTCAGAAAGAAGTCTCCCGCTGTGTTATAGAATTGGAGCAGGGTTTGTTTCAGGGGTTCCTTAAAAGGTTCTGTCAGGATTACTATGAGGGTTCCGTAATCTGATGCCATTGTAAGGAATCTGATCTCCGAGCTTCCGCTGAATCTAGTCTGTGTCATGAGGTCTTGAACTTGTGGCCTTGCAAAGCTTCTTGTAGCAGTTTGGCCCCTGTTGGGTTTCTATGTAGTTAAGCTGAAAAGAGACGCTGGGTTAGGATGCTGAAACCGCTTCTGCGGATCAGCTGCGGGTTCCCTATTGCATTTTGCGCACGACGTCCTCAAGTTGACTTCCACCCTATATCCGAAAGCCAAAAAATATAATTAAGAGAAGACCATGCCAATGCTAAGGCGAACAACCCGTCGGAGGCCACCATTGCTAAGCGACGATCCTATGCGCCCACCTCTCAGTTGACGAGGGCCGGTGCTCGGTCACTACAGTTCCACAGGCTGCCAGGGCTCCGGCAACAGCGGATACATGACTACCAATATTCACAATCCATGGTAACCATTGGACCATCATCATCATCATCACCATCATCATCATAAGCATCATCATCTTGCGAAGACACCTAAGAGCAAAGAACTATCGGCTCGAACATCAGCCTTGGGCCCAGGTCTATAAACCCTAAACCCTAAAGCCTCAAGACAGAAATACATAGAAATTGCTTGTTGTTATTTCTTCCGGCCACAGGACGCAACCTTTCCAATTTCTAGAGCAATTTCCGTTTCAGAGTTAAGCAAGGCAAACCACCTGCGATAGCCCAGCGCAAACCGCCCTACCAGCCACCAGCCCAGCCCCCAGCCCCGCCCAGCCCAGCCCACCCCGCGGCCCACCAAACCAGGTTTCTAAAGGACAACCTGCTCAAAACTTTCGGTCGAGACGCTATTGGCACCCAAACCCTTAACATTTT